GTCGCCCAACTAGATGAGGGTTGGAAGGGAACCCCAAGAAGCCATTTTTCTGGAAGCCCCTGGCATTATTCTGCGCAGGGAGAAGCCGGTTTTTCCAGGCTTGTTTACTTGCCTGTTTCGTGCCGCAGCATAACCTCACTCGGAGCCGAGGAGCATTTGGTACTAGCCATGAGGAAAGATTTACGCAACTCACATGCAGAGGTTCCAAAAATCCCCTCCTGAGGAACTGAATAGTCATCATTTTCAGCTGATAATCATGAGTGGGGCTCACGTGGCCTGATACAAGAGAATAAAACCATGCAAAAAGCATGTAATATGTTAGCAAGTTCATTGTTAATTGTTGCTATTTTTCCATCTATATGTTCCTCTCCCAAACACATTGGAAGAGTGTATCAATGGGCCCTATAAACTCATAGTCACCATGGTAACCATAATATTGGAAGCATCCCCTTGGAGACAAGGCCCAAGATGACTTTAAGGCATCTGTATACCTGTCCAGATCCTGGAGCAGCTGAGGATGAATGGGGCCCATGCAATAGGACTGCTCTAATTTGTACTGGATAGACTGGTCTTTGGGGCCATGTCAGCACATGCACTTTACTGCACAGTAGAATAATTTGCTGTGCAATAAAGCATCGCCATCTACATGTGCGCAGCAATTAGGCCGGTTGTAGAGCAATTTACTGTGCTGTCAGATAGTCCCGTCAGACACAAGTACTATCCAACAGCAGAGTAAATTGCTGCATTTAAATGCACGTGTAGACAGAGACGTGCAGATTAGCTTACTCTGGCTCAAATTGCACCAGAGTTTATTTAGTTGCATTAATTGCAAGTGTAGACGCGCCAGGGGAGATTGGTCTGCTGATCAGGGACCAGTGCATTGTTCTGCCCTGACAGACCCCAGATTGCACCTAAATACCTCCTCACCCAGCCCACCAGCCCCAGGTGGGGCTCTGCCAGCTTATACACCTTCTCAGACGTGCCTGGCTTCACTTGGAAGCCAGGGGATGATGCAAAACTG